TCATTTATCTGTGAGATTATGCACAGAGTGCCAGCAGTTAAATAGTTAAAAGGCAGTTGGGTAGTGAGGTAGATAGAGCACTAGGCTTGGAATCAGGAACTTTTGAGTTCAGATCTGGCCTCAGACCCTTATTAGCTGTGTGACACCAAACAATTCCCTTAACTTCTCTCTGCAGGTAAATCGAGGTAATATTTGTGAAGTGGTTTGCAAACTTCAAAGCATTATACATAAATGCTAGCTATTATAATTGAGATTTGTAGACTAAGCAGTGTGAATTTTAGCATCCTTTACCCCACTTCTGTTACTCCACCATAGTCACTCCACCATAGCCAATCAGAATTGTCCTCAGGCCACAAACAGTCTGTTGCTTGGCCTATGTTCAACTGGAAAGATTTACTTGAATAAATTAATTTCCACTTATTCTCATTTGAATGCAACTAGAATAATGGTAATAGTCCTCAAATGATTCTTTTTTTAAAAGTGAGAGTCTCTCAGAATTCAAAACTCATCCGCCTTTTTGACTATACCCCTTGAGAATATATTGTGGAAAACAAATGTGTTTGTGAAACATAGCTGTCATTTCTGTTTTCTAAAAATTTACTTGTAATTACATTCTTGTGTTTCAATGTTTTAAACATTGAAGGCAGTACATCAGACACTTTCTCTAGGCTGCTGTTCTTCAGCACCCTTATTTTCTAGTGTGCCCAAAGAACTTCGGTACAAGTTACTTGACAACTGCTTTCACTTCTAATGATAGCTTTTAAACATTATACTACTTGTAATTATTTAGACCACTGGTCTATAAACTTGTTTTGATGGTAAAAATTTTTAGAATCCCCCAGTATGTTTATTTCTTATAAATGTACTGCTGTACTAATAACTGTGCATTTTAACATTTATACAAGATGAAAGGTTAAAAGAATTTAAAAATAATTTTAAATAGGGAGCCACTAGAATTTGAGTGACATGGTTAGACTTGCACTTTTAAGAATATCATGTCAGCAGCTGAATGGAAGATGAATTAGAGAAGGAAAAGACTTAAGACAGACCAATCAGGACTATTACAGTAGTCCAAGAGAAGAGTGGGGAGAGCCGGAACTAATGTGGTGGCTCTGTAAGTAAAGAGATGATTATGGTTGCAAGAGGTGTTGTACAGGTAGAGAAACAGGTTTATAATTAGAATTGTAGGATGAGTGAATTGTTGAGGATTACACTGTAGTTGCAAGCACTGTGATGCCCTCAAAATCAAGTTCAGAAGAGGGGTAGATTTGGGGGGAAAGATAATATAAGGAGAATCGTAATGTAGATCCCAGTTCATCCTAGCCCAGCCAAAACAGAAAAAGAGAACAATCTTTTTCATTGACCACTGTCCCAGAACACAGAGCCTGTTCTCTGAAGGTAATTTATTGATCCTAAGGTGATAGGGGAGTGTGACTGGAATGGGGATAGGGATGGGGATGCTGAAAGGGTAGGATATTTTGCCTTCATAGCTGCAACAAGTATCTGGAAACTAGTAGCTTACTAGCAATCTGAGGAGCCAATATCTAGACCATCCATGAAATACCATTGGTCAGAGTAGGGAAGTTTTTAGGGAAGATAGATGAAGTGTATGGTATGGTTATGTTGGAGACAAGCCTACTGATTGTATCTTCTGAAGGTAGGATATGTCCCATATTCCCACCCTCTGGGTAGATTAGACATACACACATTGTGGTCATGGTGTGGTCCTCACTTTGAGAACACTGATTTGAAAAACCCACTTGAATGGGAAGGAAAATCTTGTCTAAAAAGAAACCTTTCAAATTTGTGTTACAATTTTTATGAAGTAAAACTGACTTCTGTCTTTTAAGTGTGTGTAGACTTTAAAATTTTCTTGAAAAATTGGTATTCCTAATTTTGAAATCAGAGGAATACAGATTTTCTGTCTTGAAGTCATGAGTTGAGTCTGAGGCCCCAGAAGGTCACCTGCAATAGAAAACTTAGAATTCTTCCCATCATTTAATTGAAGCATAAGAGGAAAACTGGACAGAAGATAAAACTAGCTTTCTTAACACTTAGAAGCCATGACAAGTTCCTTTGTCCCTGACTTAGGAAGACAACATGGTTCTTAGTTATTTGCCCTACCTCTAAACAACACGCTAGATAGCTTTTCTGCCCATGTTAGGTATTTGCAAGCTATTTAAGGATGACAAATAGCTTTTGAGGTATATTTTCAGAATTTGAGTGTGATAACTTTTATTATATTTCAAGTAGTGTAATACTTCTTTTTAGAATTGACACATTCTTCAAAAGAACAGTCAATATATAAGTAGCTGTTTTTACTTTAAACCAGTTAGCTATACTTCAGTATCAATTGAGGGCTGATAAAGATACAACTGTAGATTTCTACCTGAAACCTTACTCAATATTTAACGGCGTTGAGGTGTATGGTATCATCTCAAATGGAAGATTAAATGACAGTTGCTTTTAGATTGCTTTTTAGGCTTCCACTTATGTGCAGGACCTTGTGGTATCAACAAAGTCGAGTAAGAGTTATTCACTTTGTACTTAAGTATAGAAAAATAGCTTGAAGCCTGTCAAAGGAATTTTAAGGGTCTCTTTAAGATGATATAAATATTAGGAGAGACAGTAACACAAGTTTAAGAATCTGGAGACCTGAGTGTGATTTATTCTCATGCCTGCCTGTAAAGATGTATAAAGATGAGTGTCACCCTAAACCTTTCCTTCAGTGGTAGTCATCTATGAAATGGAAATGCCACTTGTACATATATGCCTTAAGGAATTTCTGTAACAATAAACAGCAGATTTAATTCTCAGTTATAGAAGTTTATGGAGTTAGATGAATAACCTACAGAGCTGGTTCATCAGCACGTAACATCTTGGACAGATATGCTGTTGAACAGTAAACTGGGCCCAGAAATGATTAGGGTGAAAAGAATAAACTGGATTACATTTGGGAAATTGTATCATTCTTTTAATAACCCCAGGCTTATCCCTAAAACAAAAATCCCATCCTTTAAATAGGAAAATTCCTTCACTGATGCTGTGTGGCTGTGAATCACAGAGTACCTCATTCTGTAAGGAATCAAACTCATATGTCTCATGAAGGGAAATGGATAAATGCATTGTGGGTGTAAACAGGCTGTAGCATATTACTAATGATGAATTGTGCACATGAAGAAGCAAGTCGTGTAGAAATGGGGAGGGAGAGGAGATGGACAGCCTACATGCTGAATTTAGCACACATGTAATCTCAAGAGATCTAGAGTAAGGTCTTTTGCATTTTGTGTGGACCCCTTGTAAAGGATTTTGGGGGGGAAATGGGCAAGAGTTACAGAATGAGATGTGACTAATCTTCAAGATACACCATTTGAGACTTTGAGAGGCAGCGTGGCTTAGCTTAGGATGCTAAACTTGGAGTCAGCCAAACTGTTATTGGAGTCAGTATCAACATTGATGAGATCACAATTGCATTGAAGTGTTATTAATGAAGAGAAAGATGAGATAATATGAAACAACGGGGGCTTCCGTCACTGAGCCTTAGACCTGACAAAGATCAAATACTAAGACAGATAGGGAGCTAATAAAATTCAAGCGTTTTGGACCAGGACTGGTAAATTTAAACACTATTTCTTGTTGCATTTAAGTATTTTTTGGATTTGCGGGCAGTTTTGCAACATAGGCAACAATAAAATCTCAGGAAGTTAGAATCAGTATAATTTGACAAGTAAACAATCAGCATTCAGCCCAGTTTAAAAGAAGATAATGTGAAAGGAAAGGAAAAATTATAGAGAAAATAATGAGTCTGTTATTAAAGTAGTTCACTCTTTATCTATAGACTGTGTCAAGTAAACAGGCATTTATTAAGTGTTTACTATGTGCCCAGACACTGTGCTAAGAAGTGGGATTACTCACCCACTTATGCATTAATATAAGCAGACAGTTCTTGCCCTCAAAGAGTTTGCATTTAACAAAAAAAAGACAACATATAAAAGGAAACTGAAAAGGGGAGAAGGAAGAAAGAGAAGGTACCCACACAGGGGCTTGGTGAGGCTGGAGAGGAGGTTTTAGGAAGAGCCAGTTAGAGGAAAGGGCCGCAAGGGCAGAATGAGTTTCCAAAACAAAAAGGTTGCTGTGGCATGGTACAGAAGTCCGAAGAGTCAGGAGTGGAGCCTGGCCAGGAAAATGCCACAGTTATCATTCAGTCATTTCAGTCATGTCAGACTCTTCATGGCTGTATCTGGGGTTTTCTTGGCAAAGATACTGCAGTGGTTTAGTATTTCTTTCTCCAGATCATTTTATAGATGAGGAAACTGAGGCAAACAGAGTTAAGTGATTTGCCCAGGACCACACAGTTAGTAAGTATGAGGCCTGATTTAAATTCTGGAAGAAGAGTCTTCCTAACTCCAGGCCCAGCACTGTATCCACTGGGCCACCTTAGCAGCCCAGAATGCCACAGAGTACCTGTCTCAAACCATGCAGAAACATAATGTAAATTCTTAGAAAGGATTCCTTGTCCCCAAAATCTGCCCTTCATATTACAGCAAAATAATCCCGACTCTTACCATTGGTATTCCAAACCCTTTATAACCTGGAACCTCTTTTCCTTTCTCTACTCCCTTTCACATGTCATATTGCAGCCAAACTTGACTGTTAGCTGCTCCTTATACACATGTGCCATTATTCATAACATTTTTGTGTACCTGGAGGGAATAGCTAGATGATTCAGTGGATAGAGCCTGGAGCCAGGAAGACCTGAGTTCAAGTCTGATCTCAGACACTAATTGTGTGAACCCTGCACAAGTCGCTTAATGTCTGTTTACCTTAATCCACTGAAGAAGGAAATGGCAAACCACTCCATTATCTTTGTCAAAGAAAAACCCATGGTTCATATAGTTCACCTGGAAGGATCCGTCCCACTGGGCCTACAAGACCCAGATCAGATAGTCCTTCTGCTTGTAAAATCTTCCCTCATTTTTCCCTCCCCAATCAGAACTTACCTCTTTCCCTTCTGACCTCACTTAGCACTTTGTACACTTTCATCTTCTCTTTTTGTTCTGTACCATTGTTGTGTAGTATATGTTCTGTCCCTCTGTGAGGATCTAAGTTCCGTAAGGGCAGGTAGGGACCCTGGCCTAATTATCTGTATCTACTCAACACTTTGCTACTTAAAAAGTGATGAACAATGAAAATAGTCCTCAAAATCTTAAAGGAAACAGTGATAGCAGCCAGAGTTCTTGGTAGCCAGAGAAAGATAATGGGGTAATTGGTCAACACATGTGGAAGTGTACTTTGAGCTGCCTATACTCACCTGACAAGCCATTCTGAGAACAAAAACAATCACTTTTAGCTAGTTGCCATTCTCAGAATAGTTTGACAAGTGGTAACCCTACTGAGAACCACCATATTTCTGTGTGAGCACCAGACCATCCACTTTGGCCTCGTAGGCATTTGATAGTGATAGAGAAAAAAGAGGGTCTGGCACTTACAGAGCACTGTACTTGACTCTAAACCAGTACATTTACTCAGTGTTATCTTGCTTAGAAAACCTGGCAGTCATGTGTGCTGACCCTATAACACAACTAGGCCGTATAGTCTTTTGCTCCAGAGTCGTTACAGCGAGGTCCAGATTACTGTGAATGAACCCCATCAGCTTGATCACATTATTCAGATTTTCAATATTCTGAGTTACAGTTATATAAGATATGGTCATTGGTTCCAGCCTAATGGAAACATGCAATGAAAAGTTTTTAAGTTTTAAAATCTGTTTGTTGATATAATATAGCAAAAGATTAAAAAAAAAGATTAAAATCTATTACAAACTAATAGAGTCATTATAGAAAGCAAAATTTAAAAATAAAGTATTACTGAATATCCCTAAAGATAAGCCTACATTAACAATATCATAAATATCATTATTGTTGAAAAATTTTAATAGTGCAGACTGAACTGTTTTTCTTTAAATCTTCATATAAATGTATTGGTAGGTGCAGAAAGTTTTGTCCATATCTTGGCACATTTGCATGCTTGATTTCTAATACAGTGAACCAAGTATAGTTGTATAAATTGGACAGTATCTTAAAATCACTAATGCATTAAATGTGAAATTGTCTTTGCAATATTTTTCAACAGCTGAGCTAAAATAATTGAACGTCAGTCTTTGAAAGTGGCTTTAGATGCTCGTACTTTCATATTTGATCACCGAAGAACTGCAAGCAGTTAATGGTTGGAAGCTCTCAGACCACTAGGACTTTGAGACTGATAAATAAGCATTGGTTTTAATTTAAACTCACCTTCTGTATTAACCACCAGTGAAAGGGTTAAGTGATCCTGAGACACTAAATCCAGGTTGAAATGCAAATTAGAAGAAATGTAAGTTCTGTAAGGCATCCTTTTTGAGAAAAGCCTGTTTATCCACACTAAAAATTTGTTGATCAATGTATCTACCTTGTTAAATTATTTTTTTCAGAACATCAGAATATTTAGTTGCCACATCCTCATCTGCCATGGGCACATCTCTGGTAATTTTAACATTACCCAATTGAATTCAGTTTTTAAAGCAGCAGAACCAACCATTGCTTTCACTGTCCATTTCATTTCCATTTTCTTTGACTGCCTTAAATAAACTTGAAGCTTTTGTCTGAAGAACAGCTCTGCTAAATTGCAATTTTTTTATTGCAATATCCTATATATGTAGCTAAAAGATGCTTCATTTCTATATTTGTAACACTTCTTTTCCTTGTAATTGTTTTTGACCACAAAAAGCTGGTACAGCTTGCCTTTTTCTTTTGTTTTGCCTGCATGTTTTATAATAATATTCTTTACTATAGATTTAGGCATTCTGACATCTCATCTTATTTTAGACTTATCATGACTGTGTTCATACTGTTCAGTTACATAACATTTTTTCCTAATGTAATAATGAGCCTCTTGTCTTATTTTTGTGCTGGCAGTATTTCCATCTGAAGTATTCTTCCTTTTGTCCATTTTGATAAAGTCTCTTTTTAAAGAAAATTAATATAACTCTTAGCTATGACATTTCTGAGACTTTTCTTAAAACACAATCATATTCCATAACAATCATATTTACAACTTGTTCAGTCATCTCCCAGTTGACGGGCCACTTCCCTGATGCCCAATTCTTTGCCACTACAAAAAGAGCTGTTATAATATTTTTATATAAATAGATCCTTTTCCCTTTTCTTTGATCTCTTTGGGATATAGACCTAAGTAGTGGCATTGTTGGGTCAAAGGGTATGCACAGTTTTATAGCTGCTTGGTGTAGTTCTAAATTGTTCACTCCGGAATAGTTAGACTAGTTCACAACTCAGCCAACAATGCATTAGTGTACTGATTTTTCCATATCCCATCCTGCATTTGCTATTTTCCTTTTCTGTAATGTTAGCCCAGGGTGGGGGACTTGTGGCCTCATGGCCCTCTAGGTCCTGAAGTGTGGCCCTTTAACTGAATCCAAACTTCACAGAACAAATCCTTTTATTAAGAGGCTGATAATTAGCCTATCTGATAGGTGTGAGGTAGTATCTAAGGGTTGTTTAATTTACATTTCTCTAATTTGAAGTGATTTAAAGCATTTTTTAATGTGACTATTAATAGCTTTGATTTCTTTTTCTGAAAACTGCCTGTTCATATTCTTTGACCATTTATCAACTGGGGAATAGCTCTTATTTTTATTAATTTGACTGAGTTCCTCTGATAATGTCCTTATTTCTCCTTTATTGATGTAAGTGTTAGAGATATAAAATTACCCCTAAGTGCTACTGCTTTTGCAGCATACGACAAATGTTGTCATTCTCTTTAAAGAAGGTATGAATTGTTTCTGTGATTATTCTTTAGGATTATTTAGTTTACAGTTAATTTCCCATCTGTGTTTCTATGGCCCTTATTAAATGTAATTTTTATTGCATTATGGTCTGAAAAGGATGGATTAATGTTTCTCCTTTTCTGCATTTTGTTGTGAAGTTTTTATGCTTCAATACATTGGGTCAGTTTTCATGAAGGGGGTCGTATACCACTGAGAAAAAAGTATACTCTTTATTTTTCCCATTCAGTTTTCTCCAGAGGTCTATCATATCTAACTTTCTTAAGTTTGTATTCATCACCTTGACTTCTTTTTTATTAATTTTATGGTTAAATTTATCTAACTCTTTAAGGAAAAAATTGAGGTCCCCTACTAGTACAGTTTTATTGTCTATTTCCTCCTTTAATTCGCTTAATTTTTCCTTTAAGAATTTGGATGCTATGCTATTTGGTGCATGTGTTATTCATCCTTTATTCTTGAAGAGAAACAACGACATCACAATGTCAGGGTAAAGTGATAGGTGATGTCTTGACTTGTGTGTGAACTGGATTTAACCAAGGCAGAGTTGCACAAAGTTGTCAGTCTCACTCTCTGTTCCAGAATCATTGAAGTTCAGTGGCAGGACAAAAGTCAAGATGATGGGTAGACTTCCTGTGGCTAAATGAGGGAGGATATGGACAAAAATTACACAAAATAAGCAGGCATCAATTATTTACAATTTGTACCACTGGAGTTAAAATGCAAATCAGTGATATCACAGATCCATTTGAGTATGAAGTATATGCCATATGGATCACTGACCTACTTCTGTATTAAATTAAGTTTAACTTGATAATTTAGTCATTCTGCCACTCTCTTTCAAGTATGCAGGGCAACAACTAGTAAGAGTTCCTAAGCAAAGTTGAAATTTTCTGATTCTTCCAGTCCAGAAACCAGGACCCCAGAATGCCCAGTTAATGCTGCTTAAATATTAGTCAAGGAGTCTTTATACATGTGAAGTCATGCAAAACGTATTTGCCATGTTGCAAAAGAAAATAAAGACAAAAAAAAATAAAACAAGCAAAATAAAATGTAAAAAGTATCTTCAATTTGCATTCAGAATTCATCAGTTCTCTGGAGGTAGATAGCATTTTTCATCATGGATTCTTTAGAAATAGATATGAGAATCATCTTGGATCACTGTCTTGATCACAGTAGCTAAGTATTTCACAATTGATCATCTTTATAATATTGCTGTTACCATGTACAATGTCCTCCTGGTTCCGCCATGCATGAGTTTATATAAGTCTTCCTAGGTTTTTAGCCGCAGATGCTTCCTTAGTTTCTCCTAACATTGGGAGAATACACGCCATATCTAACTTCTCTTTTCTCCCCCTTATCATCTCATGTGCTTCTGATACCATCTTCTACTCTTCTTTTATTACTATGTTAGATGAAGAGCTGGCTTTTCTCCTTTCCAAGCCAACTCTTTAACATGCACCCTTGATCTCCTCATGTCTTTTTCAGCAGATTGCCCCCATTGTCATCCTCTTTAAACTTTAGTCTCTCTCTATCTACTGGCTCTTTGTATTATTATTATTATTATTATTATTATTGTTATTATTATTGTTTAGTTTTCAGCATTCACTTCCACAGGATTTTGAGTTCCAAATTTTCTTCCCATCTCGTCCCTCCCCCCTCTAAGATGGCGTGCATTGTGAGTACCCTTTCTCTTAATCTGCCCTCCCTTCTGTCTCTCCCCCCCTTCTCTTATCCTCTTCCCTTCAATTTTCCTGTAGGGCAGAATGGATTTCTATACACCATTTCCTGTATGTCTTATTTCCCAGTTGCATGTGAAAACAGTTCTTTTTAAACTTTTGTTTTTAAAATTTGGGGTTCCAAATTTTCTCCCTTACTCCCTCTCCACCCACCCTCATTGAGAAGGCAAGCAACTTAATGTAGGTTATACATGTGTAGTCATGCAAAACACTTCCATAGTAGTCATGTTGTGAAAAACTAGGTATATTTCCCTTCATCCTATCTTGCCCCCCATTTATTCTGTTCTGTCTTTTGACCCTGTCCTTCCTTAGAAGTGTTTGCTTCTGATTACCCCCTCCCCCAATCTGCCCTCCCCCTATCATCCTCCTGCTCTCTTGTCACCTTCCCCCCCTATTTTCCTATAGTGTAAGATAGATTTCCATACCCAATTGAGTATGTATGTTATTCTCTCCTTAAGCCAGATCTGGTGAGAATAAG